TCACAGGCGCGATCAGTCTGCGTGTAACAGCTCCACGAGTGGGTAGAAGACTCAGAGGGCCGCAGAGACGCTGACAGCTGTTCCCGCTCACCTCACTTTCTAACCTGTTGGTTTTCACACGGTCTCCAAGAAAGCTCCGCACGCGCGCATCCTCCATCCCGTGTGATTTTCTGGCGGCGCATCCACAGCCTGCTCTGTGCCGTGGGCACGAAGGCCTGCTGCTATTGGACGACTGCTCGCATACCTATTGGTTAGTCTATGTACCGAGGCCTCCAGGAGGAAGGAGATTGGCTACTGAACATATTCACCTCTGTCCTGAGGCTCCAACGATTCCTGAGAAACAGCATTAAAACCGTGTGTGTGTGTGTGTGTGTGTGTGTGTGTGTATATATATATATATATATATATATATACACACTTTATTAAAATATTTATTATCTACAAAAAATAAAAACAGAAGAAAATGTTGCTTAAAAGGTTTTCTAACAGCGACAGTGAGAGCTTCTTTATTCACATGCATCCTGTCTTTTGGGTTTTCATCTTTTTATATTCATATTTTATTCATTTATCTGCTTATTTATTCATTCATTTGTATTTATTTGTTTATTTTGTATTTATTTATTTGTTTATTTTGTATTTATTTATTTGGTTTGTTATCGCCACATCTGTGGTCTACATGGCGATTTGAGGGATGTCAAAGCCCGATCAGTGATGCTTTGTTGTTTTCTCAGCACAGAAAAACTTTGAATACGAGGATTTCTAAACGTGTAAATTGTAGAAGTCGTTTCACCTCAGCAGAGACACGAGCCATTGTGTGTTGGTGATACGGTCACGTCCTCTGTGGGAATAATGAACAAACAGTTTCAAAGCAAATATCCAGGCCGTGCGTGTCCCCAGTGTTTGTCTCACCGTGAGTGGACAAAGGAAATGTGCTGTTGGAGCATCACGCGGGTTTTGCTTTAACTTCTTGCACATTGTTGTAACTTCGGCTTCGTCCTGAAAACCTCATAGTTTCATTCTGCAGCTGTCTGCTGTCCCACGAACGGGACACGATCACGCCACGAGCAGAAAAGAAGTCTTCACATTTTCCTTTTGTAAACTGTCACCAGAATACCTCAGCACACGACAGGAGGCTTAAACTGACGAGCCACACATCACCCTGTGTGTGTGTGTGTGTG